AAAGCGTGGAACCAGAATCTAATTAATATAAAGTGAACCCAGAAAAGTCAATGGGTAAACCTTATTTGTTGTGCATGACAAAAAATAAAAGGACATTTTTCTTAAAAAATCTGGAAAAAAGGTAATTAAATGAGATTTTTTGGACAACCAAAAACAACTTGTTTTTTGTTAATAAGTTGAAAAAAGTCACGAAGTAACAGCAACAATTTCGGAGGTTTTTGCAGTACAATTGCTATGATCGCTCAGCTAATTGACTAACAATTAACAGCAACAATTTGGTAACTAATTGCGACTCACTATGCAACAAAAAATAATAATTCTAATTAATTAATTAGCAAGTAATAATTGTTAAAAATGGCAACCAAATATGATTTGATCGGCAACAAAAAAAGGACTAATTTTTGGCTAATAAGTACATACAACCGATAATTGAATGCGATTTCTTAGGTAAAAAAAACATAACACCAAATATGATTTGATCGGCAACAAAAAAAAGAGGCTATTTTTTGGCTAATAATTACACACAATTGATAATTCAATGCGATTTGTTAGGTTAAAAAAAGAATAATAATTATAAAGTTGGTAATTAAATGCGACTTGCCAATGAATTGAAAAAAGTTGATGAGTAAACCTGTTTTGTTGGGCAAACAAAAAAAAAAAAAGAGGTCATTTTCTTAAAAGGATTTGGAAGAGAGGTATTCCTGTTTTGGAAGGAATGCCATTTTTTGGACAAAAAATTGTTTAATATTGCAAAAAAGTGATGGATTAAATGCGATTTGTTGGGCAACAAAAGTGGCAATAAAAAACCGACATCATTAATAAGTTATTAACAATTACTATGCATAAAATGGCAACCAAAATACTGTATATATATGTGGAAGCAATTAAAGATAATGTGGACTAATTTTTGGCTAATATTTGCTTCCACATTTAATAATAATCAATATAGTCAAAGAAATAATTACAATTAAAGATAATTAGTAATAATTGTGGTCTATTCGGCAACGCAGGACCAGATTGTAGCGGAACACTTCCGAGCAAACAACAAATTACAAAGAAAAGAAACAAAAGAATTGCTAGCTGTCCAAGCAAACAAAAAGCAACAATCAGCAAACGTCCAATTCTCATGCGGGCTGGACGACATCAAATTGGAATTCCCACGGGCCGAACAACCACAATCAACCAATGGAAGGAAGTCACGTCAGCAATTGAAGCCCAATTGAAGACAATGGCATTCGCCAATAGACTAGATATGTTAATGAAAATAGAAGAACAAAGTACGAGGAACGCATACAAAAAACAGAAATAGAATCAAGAAAAAGAAAAAAGTCCACAATCGGATGACGACCTGTTGCAAGAACATTAAACTGTGAACAAAACGAATATTTAAAAAGTTGCTCTTCCACCATTAGTGCAGATCTTATGAATAAAATGATGGTTTCTATCGAAAAAAAAGAAAAAGTTAAAATAATTACTCTTTTTGAAACGATTGTCAATTATAATTAAAGTAAGTTAAGTGATAAATATATCCAATGAACATGAACAAATCTCAAGAATCTCATTACTAGTTCAACGTTAGTACAGGTTGACGGATACAGTTCTAGGCATATATAATCAGATACAGACAGACACATGTATGATAACAATTATAAAAACAATAATAATAAACTCCACTCTTAAACATCAGTACAGGTGCAATAGGAATTCTAGCAAATGCAAATGGTCGTGTAAGCACAATTTTCTCTGTGAAGAGACATGAGATAATCAATGTGTCATTTTACTTTTTTTTTAATATAAAAATGAAATCTACTTAATTTATCAATGAGGTGCATATCTAGTGCTGAAAATAACTAAGGTCGAAACCATAGAAAAAGAAAATACTAAACTTAAGTCTCCTAGTCAGAAGTTTGTAGCCCAATGAACATTATTAATCTCACTTTTTGACTGTCATTCCATATTGTAACCACCATACGCCCTTTTTGGTCCTAACAAAAATCCATCCATTATATAACTATCTCAAATCACAGTAAAAAATGCTGGTTCAGTGCTCAGAAGGGGTTTGGTACTGTGGGCGTCTAGCTAGACTCCTTGGTCTTGGTGGGGATTCTGCAGAAGCAATTTCAGTGTCCTTGGCATGTCCGGCGGGAGGTGGGACAGATTTGGTAGTTGCTGGGTGAATCCCCGCGGATAATTCATTGTTACAGGGAGGCGAACAATGTTGCTGACATTCTATCTAATATGGGAGTAGCTCATCCTGAGCATAAGGTTAGGGTTTATGACCACATCCGAATGATTCCACAGATGGCTCGTGGTGCAATCCGGCTATATAAACTAGGAGTGCCTTCAATTAGGAAGTTCAGGATGTTATAGGGTTTGGCTGGCGTAATTTCTGCTACTATTGTAACTTTTGGTTCGAATTAATAATATTGCTGCATTTATTTTAAAAAAAAAAGTTATGTAGCCATTTTACAAGGTAAAAAATGATCGAAAATCTAGGTTGAAACAAAATTTATCGACTTAATTTTGTAAGAAATGTAAATTTACTATTTTAACAGTAAAGGATGATAATATTCATTTGACGAAATGTGAGAGACGTTTTGAACGACTGTTTTAAAGATTAATTTCTACATATAACAATGAAATATATTTAAATTGATAACTTAATCTGTTGGACTGTTGCTCAATTGTAGTAATTTCATCAAAGTATGTATAATTTGCTAGCTATTTATTATTTTCCGCACTATGGTGAGACATTTTTATTGTACTTTCATATCTCGAGTTTTACTTCCTTTTTAATTACGTATCTTTGACTTGATATAATGTAAAAGAAGACATTTTTTTTTGATAAGAAAACATATTTCAATAACGGATTACTGGAAATTGTCCAGCACGATTGATATACATTGCTGCCCTAATGGCAGATAAAACATGCACTAAAATTATAGATATGCAATTTAATAAATACATAAGACTTGATAAATTAAGGACAAATCTAAAAAAGTACCATAAAATTTAAAATCATTCCATCATAGAATAAATCGCTGAAGCTCACTCTGTGTATGCTGTAATCGTCAAATCTGCTAATCAACATTTGTAAGGTCCAATAAAGATGATGAGATCTGCCGAAATAGATCCAAATCTGAAATAAATTCATCCATAAATATTTGTGCATGTCTATTCCCTCAGATCTGCTATCCAACTGGTTCAAGTTCAAAACTGATATTGAGATTTGATGAGAAGACTCAAGAAGTTTTAGATCTAACATATAGATCTAAAAAACTCCAAGATATGAGAAAATAAATAACAAAACTCAAGAAACTCTCACTAATATAGTTTAGGAGGAGAGACGAAAACTCATACTAGGATACCCTAGGGGAGACTTTATTAAATGAAAGTAAGAACAAAGAACAAAGGAAGAGGAAGGGAGACCTTGGCTTAAGACCAAGATCTCCCTCCTATGGAGGAAGAAGAGTAGAGAGAAGGAAGAGAAGAATTCTAGAGAGAAGGATTTTGCTTCACGTATTTCTAGAGAGTAAAAGAAGACATTTAGTTTCTAATTAGGTATACATTTCAATTGCATAGATGTACCATGTTGTCTTTGAACTATGTTCTTTGCACCTTCAGAGACAATGAATAATACTTCAATGGAATTTTTTGCCAGATATCATCCTTGTTCATTCGTTTATTCATTATCATCTGTGCAGCTGAAAGTTACTTAACCAATTTGAGTTACTGTACATGGAACTTGAACAATTAATCAAAAGATGCAACTCTTTTAATTTATGCATCAAAGCAAGAATTCGAAACATATTTGGGCAGCCAAAGAAGAAATAAATATAGTGCTAATAACCGAAATACTAAAATGTATCATAGAGTTTTTCCAAATAAACAAAGAAAATAATGGGGTAAGACGTACTGGATTTTACAATAGTTAATAGAAAACTATTTTGCTTTTTTAACCTTTTAGTAAGACATACGAGATCCAGTATGCTACATAGCCACAATCACATCTCCAGATAATGGATTCGTTCCTCAAGAAAATTGAGACAGCTGAAAACATCATATCCAGCAAAAATGGAAATAGAGTTTAAAGCAGGATATTGGCATTTAATTTGGCAATAGAACATGGAATGAATAAGATAACATTTGAATCTCATACATGAATGCAGCAGCATGTTAGGTTGCAAAGTGATTGAAAAAAAAAATTATCTTCATTTCCCTGTAAAGATGCGGAAAGAAAAAGAATTTGGTTATAACGAATCATTTTTCTCTTTAAGGAAGAAATTTTCAATTTGATAGCAATGGATCCTTCATGTACATGTTACTGGACCGTATTTGCTCCAACAATCTCTCGATAAATATAAAAAGTTTATTTGCAAGTAGAAAAGTCGAATTATCATATGACGGGAAGTGGAGAAAAAAAAACTGGTTAATGCAACAAAAACTGAACAACTTAGAAATTTATTTTATAACATTCGATTTTTTAGTCCAGAAGAAAGAACATCTGCATGGGGTTATTAGTTTTTGAAGGACATCACCTCCTCACTAAGACTTGATGACAGGATTTAATGGTTCATTTTGAATAAAATTCCTTGAACCATATTGGATAATCAGGGATTTCGAACAATTGAGTATCAAAAATTAACAAAGGAAACAATCTAGTTCTCCATTGGTAACTCTCATTTCCCTAGTCTCTATCATTTTATCATGGACGTTATTTGGTTTCATTTTACGTCTTAGGCGTATATGACATGGAAAGACAAGGAGGAGCTTGAGAATAAGAAAGGTTATTTATTCAGGCATACAGGTAAATATTATGATGCTAATAGAGTAGTACAGTTTGATTTTTCTTGCTTCTGAATGTGTATTGCTTTGGCATTGTTTGCGTTCTGCAATTTGATTTAATGCCTAAAGAAATATAATCAATTTCTGTATTCAGATGATCAAATGCATATCAAGATTCTGCCCCTCGCCATATGTCAGAATTCATATGTGGAGAATCTCAAGTTGCATTATCTTTGGTCATGGACAATTAGGATTTCTTCCTGGTCCACCAAAGTAAAAGTAATCTCCGGCATCATCACTCTTTCCAGGTACTATGTTGTAGCAATTCGGCTTCGTAGCTACAGCTTTGATATCACCAGGAGGGACTAAGGCGTTGGATTGATCAACTACTTGAAGATTCTTGAAGTAACTTGCCCCTCCGGCTTGTTCTTCAGCAAAATGGCCACTGCCCATTTGAGTTGTGGTGTGTTGCCCATCTTGAGCATTATTTATTATCTCTCCACCCCATTCAATTAGTGAAGCACTGTCTGCTAGGTCTTTAAATAAGGAAGCAGGCCAATAACCAATTACATCGTCATTCCCGTGTTGTAGCCACCACACATTTTGCTTTGGGTCCTAAACAAAATCATACCACTATATTATGAGTTTTTCAAATCCCAGAAAAAAAAATTAGGGTTATGTTGTACATAAGATGCTGGGATCTTAATCCATTTTGGCTGTCATTACCTTAAAGATATGTAGGATGATTTCATGTTGAGCACCATGATAGGTAGAAACTGGTGAAAGGGCAACATCTAATGCAATTGAATTACTGGCATGAACAAAGCCAGGGCAGCGCAAGTTGTAGCACCCAGTGGAATTATAACCATCACTCTGTTAGCATTACCAAATTTTGATACATACATATGATAAAAATTTAGATTCAGGCAAACATATTATATTTGCATTAGGATTGATAATATTTTGTGACTTACAGTCCAGTAAGTGAAAAGTCTTGTGTTGCTATCTCCAAAGAGACTTGGAAATACCATCCAACCAGCTTCAACGGTGTTCAGATCTGAATTAGCACCTGCAAGAACCCATATTTGAGCCAAGCTAAATTCACCACTGCCCTGCACTTGGGGTTGCCAAAGGTTTATTGTTGCCTTTGCTCCCAAATACACGTTACTTTGGACAGATGCATATGCATACTGAAGAATTGAAGAAAAAAGAAAATGAGAAATCGATAAAATAAGCTAAAAATGAGAGAGATTTAAACAAACTCAAAAATTTTGATATATAATACTCTCAAAGGAAAATTAGCAGACGCCAAGTATTAAACCTATATATGTAAAGATGCATGCGTGTGTTGCTACAAAATTCTAGCAAAAATATAGTATGATTAGATGTTTCAAGTGATTCTGTCATGCATATCAACACCTAAAAAAAAAAAAAAAAAATTCTACAAGAGTCGTATTGTTTATGGTACACAGCAAATTTCCAGTTGTTTAGGGTACCTCGTGATTGGAAAAGCCAGCGAGCTGGGGAAAGTTTCTGTGCTCCTTCTTTGCATATCTTGCTTTCTGGTTTCTTCTAATAGGAATAGTTCCTTCAGGGCATCTCCCACCCAACTGCCATAACTGAGCAATTGGTTTTTTATCCTCTTGGCCATGAGCATTGGATTTGAATAGTTCACCCCCACCAATTGGTCCTTTCCGAGGCTGCAAACTAGGCCTCATCTTCAACGTGCAAAAATACATAAAATTTTCACTTGTAGAGATTTTTCCCTTGTCTTGCTTTTGGGTGGGATAGAAAGGCTCACCAAAATGGTATGATTTTTGAGCAAAGGATGATCAAATGCTGGTTGATGATAAATGTTGATACAATCAATAATATCACCATCAGGGCTCTGCCTTTGAAAACAATCATGCACCAGTTAGTCATATATGCGAGTCCTAAAAGTGTGGACGGCATACTCTACTTTTCAATTAGTAATGTAAGAAAGTATAGCAAAACTAGCAGGAATAACCTTGATGGACTTGACAGGGATCTTCTTTGAACTGCTCAACGTTTTCCTGACCTGAGTCTTCTTGCTTGAGGCATCACATAAATTCATCATGGATAATAAAATGAAGAAATAAAATAGCTTCATTTTCTTCTCACTTTTAAAACTTCCAATGCAAAATTGATTCACAGGTTGGTGGTATGTATTTGAGTTCATTACTAGGTGAATTTATAAGCTTTTAAAGTATCGTTCGTGGAATTCTACTGGTTTATTAAACGAAACCTCCCAAGTCAATTGACTCATAATTCTTCGGACCTCTTCAATCCTGGACCCCAAAACTACTAGACGAAAGTACGACTTTAATATGGATTGTGAAAGGCCACAATATATATTCATATAATCTTTCTTTTCCTTGTTACCATTAATTAGTAGGCCACAAACTTTCTTGTTTTTTCATGAACAAATATCGAAAGAGAATGCAATATCACTTGGTTTTCATATTACGACCAATTGCGGCTAACGAGAAGAATATATCATTCTTACAAAACAATAACTACGGAAAAAGTAACAAAAAATTAATCAAGAACAAGCACTCAGAACTCAAGTCAAGATGGAACTTCCAGAAGAGAGGGAAAAAAAGAGTTGAAATTAGTATGATTTGACATTTAAAAACAGCGAAGCAATACACTTATGAATAGAGTAGCTTGGGGTTCAATCTGATTCATACGCACGCTTTAGGCTGCGGGTATATTTGGGAAGGATGATTATCAGCACATGCACACAGTAGTGTCTGTCTTCCCCAATTGCTTTACATGTTTGTATCAAAATTCCAACATCATTTTATGGGTGAACCCTCTTTTATATAATTTATATTCCTTCCCCACTGCAATGTGCTCAACAAAAGCAGGGGAAAAAAAAAAGGGCTCATCTGGTATCATTTGATCCTCCTCTCAGTAAAGCGCATAGTGCTACTAAAAAAGCAGTGTTGGGTGGACGGATGATGATGATGATTCTTGATTCAGCAGACTCCTCTCTCGTCCTTCCCCTGTCATGACCTCTGAGCCCATTACCTTTCTCTACATTTGAGATTGCTTTTTATTCTTTCGATTCTATTTTCTTTAAGCCCCCCCCCAACCCGCAGTCAAAATGTCAAACAGAACCCCTGTCTTTTTTTTTTTCACTAGCGTCACATCTAGTTTAGCCTAACCTACTCCTACTTCTAGGAGGGAGGGACTTACTTTAAAACCTGTACAATAATAAAATCTACTTAAACTAAAAGTAATTTCTGTAGATAGCGTGAGTAGGGTTGAATCCACAGGGATTGGGAGTAATTGTTTCTTTTCAAATTCACAGTGACAAGGGGGTGTTTTTGTACAGAAGGTGACAATAAAAGAAATTCAAATAAAATCTAAGAAGCTACTAAAAATTAAATAACAAATTACTAAAATCAAATGGGTGATAATTAAGGATCTAGCCAATAAATAACTTCAGCAATGGTGTACCTAATCGATCATTGAAACAAAGGCAATTCCAATTATTCACTAATAAATAGGTTATAACTGCCAAACAAGCGATGACAGTCAACCCCTCCTTACTGTATCGGTGATTAAGGTACGCTCGTTAACTACTGCTCTAATTGAGAAATAATCCTAGGTACGCCCGTAAGATTTAATTCCCCAATTGCCTTATGTATTAGAGGAGCCCTATTCTAACTAAATAACACACTACCAGGGTTATTTTAGCTTAGCCCGCGTATTCCTCTGACAATAACCCAATCATGCCAGTTATCACTATTTTGACACAATTAAACAATTACGGATTAACGTCCCAATTGACAATAGATTATCAAATTAACTAATTATCCGGATTCAAGACAATCAATTAATTGAACAATCATAAGCACTGTAACCAGGGAATATGCGAATATCAATAAATAAAAGAAAAAGGTAAAATTAAATCGATCTCACAATTTTAGGCGAACCAAAACCTCCGTTCTTTCTTGAATAGAAAAAAGAGATTTACTTCATCCCGGATAAGAAAGACCCACACAAAGTTGCAGCAACAATTGCGGCCATCATCTCCAAGAATTGGAAAAATTCAATTCGTCCGACTCAATAAGAAAAAGCAAGCTACAGAAAAGTAATTACTAGTCTTCCTATGGCTCACGGCAGAGAACTACTACCAAAAAGCAAAAGAAGGAAAAGTCAAAATCTATGCTACCAAGTGTCTTCACTAAAGAACGAAGAAGAAAAGTCCAAAGAAAAGCTAATCTAACATCTAGTTCCTACTGCTATTGCGGCGTCCGCCGCCAGCCGAAGGAGACTCCAACCCTCCTCTTTTTAATGCTGTTTTCGACCAAATTACCAAGAAGGGTCACGGCTTGAAATTCCAAAATTGCTCCTGCTACTTGAACTCTTTTCTGATGATTGCCAAATTGGCCTTGGTTGTGGTATTTTTGTTCTACTCCTGAAATAAATGCAAATTACGAAAAGTGAGTAGAATCTAATAATTAATTCACATCGAGTTAGGTAATAGAGAAAATTAATAACAAAATAAATGATAAAATTGCAACCTATCAATTCCCCCACACCTAAACCATGCTTGTCCTCAAGCATAAGAACAGTAAACAAACACCAATATTTGACAATGGCTATTGCTCTATCTACCATATTGCCAAGATATCAAGAAAAATATATATCAAGCATCAGTGATCAAAATCCAAGAAACATTACCTCGGTTAGCTTCTAAACTACAAACTCCAATTCCAAGTTAAATAATCTAAGAAGAAGGAATGATCGCTCAACATTTATCAGCAAATGGTCCAACTACTAACCAAAATCTCAACATTAAATCCATAATTCGGCAAGCTGACTTATATCACACACTAACACAACCTTCACTTTTTTCACATTTTTCTACTTTTCTCTTTTTTGATTTTTTTTTTTTTTTTTGCTTTCTCAATAGTAACAAAAGATTTAGTCGCTAGCCATTGGAGCCTTTTGACGCGAATTCTAACATTTGTTAGATGAAAGAGCTCGGTTACTCAGCTTCTATCGCCACGTGACCACGTACTCGTAGTAATTATTACTTTTTGACGCGAGAATCGACACTTTTGGTGAAAACTCCCGGTTACTCGGTAGTAAAGACTAGCGGAGTACAGTCAACTCTTATTCACAGCTAATAATACAAAAACTCAATATAACTCAAAAACCAAAAGAAAATTTGTATCAGCTAGCCTCATTTTCAAACATGGAGAACTAAAATTAATAACCAGACCAATTTACATGAAAATGCCAACAATCATTCCCTATGCCTAGGAAAGTTAACCAAAAATTATAAGAATAAAACAATCACCGATATTTACCAAAGAAATATTTTTGGATTCAACCACATTAACTTGATACACTTTTATTATTAAAACTTGGCAATAGCAGAATTAGAGTCAACAATCTAACATCAAACTGTGGTATTCACATGAGGGCTAAGCACTAAAAAGAAAGAAAGAGACTGAACGAAAGATAGACAAATAACAAATTAGAAATAAAGGAAAAACCCCTAAAAACTAAAAACTACTAAAAACTAGAACCACAACTGATCTCCCCCACACCTAAATGACACATTGTCCTCAATATGACGAATAAACAGTAATAGCAAGAAGAAGGGCAACGGTACTTCCCTACGGTCGTCAAAACATCGGCGAGTGAGGCCCAAAAGGAGGAGGAAAGCCAACGTGCTGCATAAATGCTGCTAGTTTCTGGGCAATATTGGCCACATTGGCGTCAATATTCTTCACTCCAGCATCCAAAGTGTCAACCTGCTAACATTAGCAATTGATCAAGAAATGGCAGCTCCAGCAATAGCAGTTCAGAAGTTGGACAGAAATAACTCAATCACAAATGCCCAGTGGTCACAACTCGATCAATTAGGCAACCAATAACACAAGATTAACAAATGTTAAACAACCACCATCGCCAGTACCACTGCGTGAATGCACAGGAAAAAATTAAATCAAATGCCTAGCCCAAATCACTTGATAAATCCAAACACACCACTCAATACCAAGGAATAGTAGAGATTAAAACGGAAATCAATTGACAAGTACTCCCTAAATCGCCCCAAATAATGCACCAATTTTACTCAACAGGACTAGGGATAGTGCTAGTGCTCAAATAAATCAACAAATGTCTCCAATTCAAGAAATCAACAACTCAACTTAACAGCACTGAGGAAGCTCGCAACGGCTACTAGAATGTCTCATGGAGCAAATGAACCATAAAGCCTTCAACGGAGCCCCAAAAATTGACAACTAAGAATGCAAAAGACTAAAGGGCAACTCGGAAACAGAGGGACTCAGAGATACCTGCCCACTGCCCAACGGTGTCGTTGGTGCAGTGGGTGGTAGCGGAACTGGCAAGGGGCGGCGGCGGCGGTCCGTGGTGGTCGCGCGATCGCGACTAAGAGAGTAGGGCTACGATGAGCTGGTGGATGTGCACCAGCGAGGTGGAGAGGCGCGCGAGGCTTGTTATATTGCGACGAGCTGGGTTGCCACGGCTGGAGTGCGACGGCGGCGAACGAGGTAGATGAATCGCACTCGGTGGAAAGGAGGAGCGGCCGCCACAGTTGGCGGCCGTGGATGGCGCGCGACTTGGGTTCTTGGCCGAAGAAGAAAAGAAAAGGGAAAAAAGGAAGCGGAGGAGAAGAGAAAGAAAAAGGAAGGAAAGAAAGAAAGAAAGGAAAGAAAAGAAAATATTTTTTTTTAAATTTTAATTTTGGAAACAAAGGTTATAGCTAAACGGAAAATTTTTTTCTAATTTTCTATTTAAAAAATTATTTATTTTTTAAATATTTTTTTAAAAGTTTTATTATTAACAAAACTTATTTTCAAAATTAAAAATTAGAGAATAACAGAAAATCAATAACTGTTCTTGAGCTTTTTTTAATACTTACCTTTCCCGTGAACGTGACGTGGGCACGTCAAGAGGGCACGGAATGAGGAGCTCTTCGGGGGACTTGACGCGGGCACGTCATGAGGACAAGAGAGCTCTTTGACCATGAGCTCTTCATGGGACTTGACGCAGGCACGTTAAGAGAATCGAAACCCTTTTTACTAAGCACCAGGAAATCGCAATGTGCCACGCGCCCAGTTAACGGGGCGCGTCATGTCAGAGGGATGCCTATGAATCATCAAAATGAAAATTGAAGCAAAAAAT